AAAGCCTCCTGGCTTTGTATGCGGGGCTTCGCCTGGCCGCCCGGATCCCTGCTCCAATAGCACACTGAACAGCCTGATGGGAAGAACGGGACAGGGAGGTGGGGGTCAGATCTTGGAAGCCCCCTCCACCCCTCCCTTCTCGCCAGTAAAGCACAAGTCCTAAAAAATGGTAATGCACATGAGTTTTAAATATGTTAATAAATCCGACTGTGGCTGCCAAATAGGGGCGGTCTGAATCAGTCGCTTTCTCGAGTCTGGAATTCAAAGGGCTTAGGGTCAGCAATGCGAACTAGGGTGGGGTGCCTCCCCCACCGCAGCGCAGATGCGCACCCGACCACGACGATGATGAAGTCCAGGAGGTTCCAGCCATTGCGGATGTAGGCGCTGGGGTGGAGCACCAGCCCATAGGCCACAATCTTGAGCACTGTCTCCACGGTGAAAATCACCAGAAATACGTATTCCACCTGCTCCTGGGGGCGGAGCCGGGGCGGGGTGGGAAGTCGGGGAGTTATTTGGGGGCGGGGCCTGTCCAGATGGGTTTGGGGGAAGGGATGCTTAACCCGCACGGAGGGTGGGGCTGGGTGAGTCAGAGAGGGGAGAGACCTGACCCAAAGGCTTGAGGTGTGGCTCTCCAGGGGCTGTATTTGGCTGGGGACAGGGCAAGGCAGGCCTCACCAGGTTATGGTTGGCAGTGTTGGAGTCGTCCTCAGGGAAGGGGATGTAGACTCCCAGGGCCACGCAGTTGGCAAAGATCGTCAGCAGGATGAGGATGTCAAAGGGCCTCAGGTGGACACAGTCAAGGACCCAGACAGAGCAGCACTGGAATCCCCACACTCCTTTAGGGCTCTCCCACCCAGTGCTGACTCTTGACTTCAAGGTGTCTGGTTCTGACATTCTCAACCTCCTCCGCTCTGACCAAGATCTTACCCCCTGCCCCACAGAAACTTGTATTATACCAACTCTTACTTTGATTCAGTCCTTGACTCTGTTTGAAAGGTAGAGGGTACCTGGGATTGAACTCAGGGGCACACGACCACTGAGCCACATGCCCAATTCTATTTTGTATTTTATTTAGAGACAGGGTCTCACTGAGTTGCTTAGGGCCTCATCCTCCTGAGCTGCTGGGATTACAGGCATGCACCACCACACTCAGCAGTCCTTGACTCTTGACCTGTGGTCACTATACCTTTATGGAGGAGTCCCCCTCTAATCTAGTTCTTGACCTTGATCCTTGATGACCTTGACCCTCCTCAGTTCTCCATCTGATTCAATGCTTGACTCTTGGTACCCTGGTGACCCTTACCTCTGAGCCTTATGCCTGCCCTTCCAGGATACTTCCACTCCACAATGCTGATGCAGGACCGCCGAAGGGGATTGGCCAGGGTGAGGCAGAATAGCGCACGGGGTGACCGCTGGGCACTGGCCACTGCCACTGTCTTGTGCTTGTTGTGCTGGGCCTTTCGCCTAGGGGTACCCAGGCCCGAAGCCCCACCGGTATCACCTTCCACAACTGGAGGTCCAGGGCAAATCCCCCAATCCGGACCAGGGCCTGTCCCATTGGCTGGACTGGGGTCTGGGGTGGTATCTGTTTAGAGAGAGTCAGGGAAGTGTAGAGGGGTAGAGTCTATAATTCGGACAATTATAGACACCTCCTACATAATCCCATCCCATTGTTTGAAGAAAGGAGAGGACATGTAAAATTAGAGAGTTGGGGGTACTCAAGTATTGTGGGTAAGAATTAGTGTTGGGATTAAGATTGGAGGTAGAGTGAGAATTTACAGGGGAAGGCTTCCAAGTGAAGTAGGGTTTAACTGAGGAGAGACTTTAAATTGTCATGAGGTGGGCTTCAGTTTAAAGCTGGAGGCAAATTTAAAGTTAAATTTGAGTTGTAGATCTTGGATCAGGTTGGGGTTAGGTTTAAATAAAGGAGTGGAGTTTGGCGGACATTTAGGGTTAGGACTGGATATTTGAATGAGTTTGAATTAGAATTGGGATCAGGGTTAGGGTCGAAGATGAGCTTTGAGCAGGGTTTGAGTTTTGCATCGGGGTTTTCAGCTAAGGTCATTTTCAATTGCCATGGCCCTATTTCAGCCTCTGAGGGGTAGTAAGTAGGCCTGGTTAAGATCCCCAGCTTTGGAGGAAATAAGCAGTCTGAGTTTAAATCCCGACTCTACCATTTGGTAGCTATGTGTTGCCTTGGGCAAATAAGATAATCCCTCTGACCTCAATTTTCTTATCTGTATAATGGGATGATAATAAGGGTACCTGCATTGTACAGGTGGCCTGAGGGTTAAATGAGTTCAGCATTCAGAAGAATGCCTGAGGTGTAGTATCATTCCATTTTGCAGAAGAGGGAATCAAGGGAAAGAGGTTAAGTGACTTAATGAAGCTGCAGAATCAGGAGTCAAACCCAGGCAGTCTGACTCTAGAGCTCTTGAAGTTTAGCACCCACCGTCAGATGTGTATTCTTGCTCTATATTTGTTTAGTCTTTTTTTTTTAAAGACCTATACACTTTCTGTAAAGTCATAGATTATACTCACTAACAGTACTGACATCTAGGGGTTGCAGTTGAGGTTAGGTGGCTTCAGAGTTCATAGGGGGTCTGCAACCAGAGTGGGGTTTGCATTCTAATGGGTTTGCATTTTGGTTAATAAGGTTTGTGTTAGGATTCAGTTTGGGGCTGGATTTGCAGGTAGAGTTGAGTGGGCTCTAGAACAGGGGTCAGGGTGAGGATTGAGGCTGGATTTAATTTGGGAACTAAAGCTATGGAATGGGGCTGGGAGGCCAAGGGGCAGCATCTGGGTCAGGCTGAGGGTCTGGGCTCAGGTGATGAAGAGGTTGTATTTAGGGCCTGCTGGGATGGGAATAGGGAAACATGGTTTTGGTCCCCCCAGAGGTTTCCAGGGATAGGGTTCAGGTTGGCAGTTGGTGGGTCAGAGGGGTGAGGGTAGAGCATAGCTCAGGCTTGCTCCAAGGGTCTGCAAGGGTAGTCAGCTCCTCTCACCTTTTCCAACTTCAGATTCCGACATCCTCCTCTGGAGATTGAAGGTCCATCTGCACACAGCCCCCCTCTCCTCCCCCAGCTTTGGAGAGATTAAGGTCACTGGGCGGGGCAATAGCAATGTTGGATGGGAGGGTGAAAAAGGGGTGCAAATGGGACATTTGTGGGTCGGAACCTGGCGGCAGAAAAGACAACAGATTAAATATTTACCAAATAGATACCTATACCATATAGTCAGAAACTAAAATAAGAAAAATGGTATCATTCTCCAATAGTATTTGAAATTTGAAGTACATAGAAAAAACATAGTATATGTGCAATATCTCTATGGGAAAAAGGATCAAATATCAAATGCTAAAGGGGACCTAAAAATGAAGAAACAATGTTTAATGATTGAAATATTCAATATTGGGGCTGGAGATGTGGCTCAAGCAGTAGCGCGCTGGCCTGGCATGCATGCGGCCCGGGTTCGATCCTCAGCACCACATACAAACAAAGATGTTGTGTCCGCCAAGAACTAAAAAATAAATATTAAAAATTCTCTCTCTCTCTTAAAAAAATATTCAATATTAATAAAAAATAAAAAGGGCAGGGATGCAACTAGTGCTAGAGTGCCCCTGGTTTCAATCCTCAGTACTGAAACAAAAATTGACATCAACACAATATCGAATTTTTTTTCCAGTACAGGGGACTAAACTCAGGGTTCTCTACCACTGAGCTGCATCCCAGCCATTTTTTTTTTCTAAATTGAGACGGAGTCTTCATAAGTTTGGCCTAAAACTTGCTATTTTCCTGCCTCAGTCTCCTGACAATGTTAATTTTTCCCATAGTGTCCTGGAGATTCAGTGGAATCCCAACTAAAATCTCAAAAAAAAAAAAGAGTTTCCCATGGAATTTGACAAACTGATTCTGAAGTGTATATCAATGTATAAAGGACCTAGAAATACCAAAATCCCTTGAAAATCAAGTTGGGAAGACTTGCCATATCTAATATGAAGGCTTGGTATAAAGGCACACTAATTAAGAAAAATATAGTTAGGACACTGAGCCATATATACATCCATGAGGTTTATGACAAATCTGGCTAGAAGAGACAAGATGGGCTTTTTTTTTTCCTCTTTGAGAAGGACTCTCACTATGTTATTCAGGTTGTCCTCAAAGTCATGGTCCTTCTGCCTGTTTCTGGAGTAGCTGGGATTACAGGTGTGCCTCACAACACCCTGCTCAGGATCAACTTGTTAATAAATAGTGGTTACATAGATATTTGCTGTGTCATTATTCTTTGGAGAGTACAAAAGTGTGTGTGTGTGTGTGTGTGTGTGTGTGTGTGTATATATATATATATATATATATATATAATAGTAAAATGAAGCATGTATTGAATCCATGAATAATTATACTAACAACTTAGTTAAACTGTAACTTTAGTAGTGCTCTTTTATGTGTCAGGCATATAGTACAACATGCTTTACAAAAAGTAATTGTGTTTTAATCCCAGGAAGTAAGTACTATCAGTAGTTCCATTTTGGGCTGGGGATGTGGCTCAAGTGGTAGCGCGCTCGCCTGGCATGCGTGCGGCCCGGGTTAGATCCTCAGCACCACATACAAACAAAGATGTTGTGTCCGCTGAAAACTAACTAAATAAATAAATATTAAAAAAAAAATAGTTCCATTTTTCAGATGGGGAAAGCAAGACGCAGGGAATCAGTTAAAACCCCTGCCCTTTTGCCTAACATTCCCGAGGCCCTGGGTACAATCCCAGCCCGGCAAAAAATATAGATAAATAAATAAACGAACAAAATAAACAAATAAATAAACCCCTGCCCTTCACTTATACTCTTTTATAGCCTAGAAGATGAATGCTGACTTAAATGAAGCTCCCGTCCCCGCTCCCAATACAGTTCGTTTTTCCCATTTAAAGAGACCATGGGACCGCTAGTAAAACTACAATTCCCAGCAGCCATTGCGCTATCAAGGTTTGCGCGCGCGCGCATTCGCATCCCGCACACGACGCGCTCGCTCACGGAACTACACTTCCGAATTTTCCCCGCTTGTCCCGTGACGCTCATTGCACCCTGAGCGCTAAGCGGGGGTTCAACAACTGCGCCCCACTTTCTCAGATTCAGTGCTGGACCCAGCCCCCGACTCCGACTCGGCTCCACCATGGAGGAGGCAGACCGAATCCTCATCCATTCCTTGCGCCAGGCTGGCACGTAAGTACGCAGCCTCCCTCGCCCACAAATGACCACATCCGGGACTCCAAAACCCAGGACCCCCATTACCCGGGAACCTTAAAACCCGGCACTATATTTAGGGTTCCAACTTCCAGGGATCTAAGACCCCACGCACACATCCCAACCATAGGGTCTTCCCAAGCCCCTTTACCTCAACATTTGGTAAACCCAGACTCTGGGACCCAGACGCCCGGAGACCTAAAAGCCTTGGAATTTCAAGATCCGTGACACGGAAATGTATGGATCTTGATATCAATACTCTGGGAACTTGATACCTTCAGACTCTGAGACACCTGCACCTTGAGAACCAGGGAACTTAAAATCCCCGGACTCTAGCACTGGAGTAACTCAAAAACCCTAGAACTGCATAATGTGGAGCCTTCCAAGTTTAGTTTCCCAAACACCTTGGGCTTTTAAAAGCCCAGGACATCAGCACATCTGGTGACATCAGCACTTGGTCACTTCTGACACACCAAGACTCTTCCATTTGAGGGTCCTAAAAGACTCAGGATGCGGACATAGGGTGCCTGATTTTTGTTTTGTTTGAAACTAGAGGTCTTAATATACGGGGATCTTGACACCTAGGGACCTGACATTTGAAACTCCTGAAAACCCCAGACTTTGCAACATGAAGTCTTCTCTAAATCCTAGTAGCTCAGTATCTAGGAGTTTCTGACATGTAGAGAATGTAATTCTGGGGACCCAGAAATACAGAAAATATGCCACGTGGGCCCTTTCACCTTCACAGACCCCCAAAATTTGGGGCTTTGAAGCCTAGAGAAAATCTGAGATTTTTCTAAACTGAGATCTGTCTTATCTACCATTCTCCTACAACAAGGACTGGAGAATGAAGCTAGTTCTTTTTATCCAAATGGAAGTCACAGTCACCAATACTTAGGATTTGTTTGAACTTTTGAACTTGGGCATCCTTTCCAACCCGGGTCTATTCTAGAGCTTTTAGAAGGCTGCATGGCCCATCCTGATCACTGTATCCTGATTACTGCCTCCATAGATCCTGTCTCTTTCTTCTCCAGGGCGGTCCCTCCAGATGTGCAGACCCTACGAGCCTTCACCACTGAGCTGGTGGTAGAGGCTGTGGTTCGCTGCCTGCGAGTGATTAACCCTGCTGTGGGCTCTAGCCTCAGCCCCCTGCTGCCTCTGGCCATGTCTGCCCGGTTCCGCCTGGCCATGAGCCTGGCTCAGGCCTGCATGGTGAGTGCCCTCCCCCCATTATACACATCTTCTTCCTTCCTCCTTCACAAAGTAACCATGCTCCTTTGAAACTCTTGACTTTCCTCTCTGCCATCTCTCTTTGTGGCTTAGCATTCATTAGTGGTTAAGGTTGCTGCTTAGTGACCAAACCGGTGAGTAGTTCAGACCTTGGCTGTACCACTTGCTAACAGTGTGACTCTAACCCTTCTAGGCTTTAGTTTTCTTATCTGTGAAGTGGAGATTATAAAAGTAAAGTTGTTATGAATATTAAATAAGTTTATCCTATTTACACCTGGGCTGCCCCTACCTTCCATGCTTCAAGCTTAGCATCAATATATTTTCCTCCCTATAGTATCCATTTATCAGTTCCAGGAAAGGCCCTGCTTAAGTAACATGCTGTTTCTTAAACTATTCACTGTGTTCCCTTGTTGGTCCATCCTGAATCCCATGGTCATTTGGTAGGACGCTGTGATTGGCTGCTCCTTCACGATCCCATTGATTTGTGAGAAGGATGGTTACCCAAAGAAAGATATACTGGTTAACTCAAACAATCTCTCTTACATTCCCCCTGTGGCAACCTCATGCATCCTGCCTCTCATAGCAATTCTAAAAATGTCTTTCTGATAGATCAAGTAAGGCACCTTTCCAATGATGCCCTCCCTCCTCCCCCATTCAGAGCTGTGTCCAGTTACTATATTCTGGAGGGCTGAGTAATGCTGTTTCTTGTGGCTCCCTGGCTCTGTGACTTGGGGCCAGTCTCTTTAACTTGTTTGGTCCTAATTTTCTACATCTGCAGAATGGGTGTGAGAATTGTACCTACCATGTAGAATTGCTATGAGGATTAAAAATAAGGGGCTAGGGCTGGGCACAGTGGTGCACATCTATAATCCCAGCTATTAGCAGGCTGAGGCAGGAGGATCCAAGTTTGAGGCTAGTTTCAGCAATTGAGCAAGACCTTCAAGCAATTGAGCAAGACCTTGTTTTACAATTAAAAGAATATATAGAAAGGAATGCTCAGTCATAGTACCCCTGGGTTCAATCCCATGTAGCACCAAAAAGTGGGGAGGCCTAAGTATGTAGCTCAGTTTTAGAGTGTGCTTGGCATGCACGAGGCCCTGGGTTCAATCCCCAGCACAAAAAAAGTAAAATTGAATTAATGAAATGAATAAATGGATATATAAGCTTTGTGTCAGTGGCATTAATGGATAGGTCTGATGGGGAATGCTTGCATTTCAGCAACCTGTGGCAACATGGTGATCGTAAAGACTTCCAATATACCTAGTAAGTATATGGTGGCAGAGGGACAGTAGAATAGCTTCAGTGAAAACTTCCATTTAGACAAAAGGGACAGGGTGGTCAGAGATGTTGCATTTGGACCATGCTTGTGCACTTTCTGTCTTTTTCTCATCTCTTCACTCTCAAGTTTACTTACTGTCAGGAGTTCTCAGAATCTTCTATCTGGTGCTCTTGATGGCCTCATAAGGCAGACAGTCTGTCCTCTGGCCTAGGGCTATGTCCTGGAGGATGGTACTCTTAAGGTGGAAAATTATGTCTTCCGTGGTGCATGGAGTATGCACAGCAGGAAGTGCCAAGTAGGTGTCAGACCTTTGCAATTCTCTGTTCTTCTCTTTTTTCAGGGCTGACTGCCACTGGATTCATGTTGACTTACTTTGGCTCACACTAACTTTAGTGTGGGGCAAAGAATAGCTTTTTTGGTGGTCATAAAGGTACATGGGATTGTCCAGCCTTGGTTTGTCAGTGGCAGGCAGAAAGGCTCTTACTCATTATTGCTGCATTCTTATTTCTTCCTCTGCATGTGCCCTTCTCCTTGTACCCCTTTCTGTGCCTCATCCACTTCCATATTTTGGCATCTGCTACCACACATATCCTACTCCTGGAACAAGTTTCCATATCAGTCAGAACTATTTGATTGCAGATGTCAACAACAACAATAACAACAACAAACCACAAAGGAGTAAAGTAGCTTAAGAGCTAGTGGTTTTCACACTTTTTTTGGACTATGACCCTTCAAAATAAAAAGAAGTTACACAGTGACCCAGAACTCACATACATATATAATAAGGATGCATTTAGAGTGTACTCTGTACCAGGCACTGTGGTGACTCATTTCATTCTTATGACAATCTTCTGGGGTAGGTATTTTTGGTATCTCTCTTTTTTTTTTTTTTCAGATGGAGAAAGTGCAGCACAGAGAGGTTAAGTGATAGGCCTGAGGTCACAAAGTTATAAGAGGCAGTACTTGGGTTTGAATCCTGGAAGTTGGCTTTCAGGATCCACGAAGCTCTAGAGCAACAGCATCTCTGGCAGAACAAGTTTTTCTTTCTCTCTAGGCCTGTTTCCCAGTCCCACCTAGAACTCTCAGGAGTCCTTTCATTCTGCTCTATTATGCTGCTGGTCTGTTTTTGCCTGTTTATATCATTTTATGTTTTGCAGTGCTGGGGTTGGAACCTATCGCCTCATCTATATTGGGCAGATGTTCTCCAGCTGAGCCACATCTCCAGCCCTGCCTGCTTATATTTAGGCACTCTTTATATAATAGGTAGATTCACTACTGCCAATGATAGGGGGCTCCAAATACTTTTTTCCCAACTCATCATAACTCTTGATTTTGCTAATTATATTTTCTGGAAATTGTTTATTTGTTTTCATATAGGCAGAAATCCCATCTTCTCTTTTATGGCCTCTGGATTTTGACTCATAGTTAGCAAGGTCAGAGCTTTAATCTCCTTTCTCCCTCTCTATAGCATTGATTGTAATTACTCTGGGGTTCCCTGGGGGCCCTGGAGGCCTTGGGGAGCCAAGAGGAGGTGGAGAGGGTAGTGGCTGGTGAGAGAGTGTGAGCAGGTATGACCTAGGCCAGGGCTCCCAGGGCAAGAGGATCCTACCTACCTGGCTGATAGGGGCCAACCTCCCCAGCCAGGCAGTGTCCCCTGATTAACACCTGATAACCCCCAGGACCTGGGCTATCCCTTGGAGCTTGGCTATCAGAACTTCCTCTACCCCAGTGAGCCTGACCTCAGGGACCTGCTTCTCTTCTTGGCTGAGCGTCTGCCCACCGATGCCTCTGAGGATGCAGACCAGCCTGCAGGTACAGGGTCTAGGGGATGGGGGTGGGGGAGTGGAGTGTGTACTTGGGATGAGAGGGGCTGTAAGAGATGGCAAAACTGTTGCCTGCCAAGTGTGTGTGTGTGTGTGTGTGTGTGTGTGTGTTTGGGAGAGCTAGGCAGGAGAACTGGGGCTAGAGGGGATGTAAGCATAGCAGGTCTTCTGAGACTGGGGGCTGGGTGACCCAGGTGATGAGTGTGTACTTGGAGGGCCTCCCCAACTCACCTCCTGCACCTTCCTCAGTGTGATGCTCCAGGCATGCTGCAGCCTCAGGGCCTTTGTATCCCTGTATCATTCTTCCCCCATACCTCATGGTTTATGCCAGGTCTACGTTCTGTTTCAGCATCACCTCAGGGAGGCCTTTCTCTCACTGTTTTGTGGAACATTCCAGCCTCCTCTCAGCAGACCTCCTCTCTGGCTTGCCATCTTGATCTAGATCATTCTTATGATTCTCGTCATGAACTTTCTCCTCTACTAGCTTGTGGGTTCCATGAAGATGGGAACCTTTTCCACTTTATTCCCTGAGGTGACCCTAGTGTCCAAAACAGTGATTAGTACCTAGTTTGTGCTCAGTCAGTGTTTGATGAATGTGAGACTGATCTGCATTTCTGGCTGAGGAATCAGGAGCCATGGCTGATTTCCCAGAGTATTTACTTTTGGATTTGTGGCATCGTCATCTGTTGAACACTTCTTCCCCAACCCCCATAGGTGACTCAGCTATTCTCCTCCGGGCCATTGGGAGCCAAATCCGGGACCAGCTGGCCCTGCCCTGGGTCCCACCTCTCCTTCGAACACCCAAGCTACAGAACCTCCAGGTGGGATCCCCGACTCCTGTCTGTGCTTGTCCCCACCTTACCTTTCTTATCCCCATCTGGTTGCCCAGGTTGTTGGCCCCTTCACCAGTGACCCCTGTCCCACTTTGTCCTAGAGACTCTGACTCTGCTCTCCCTCCAGGGCTCAGCCCTCCAGCATCCTTTCCATGCCAGCACGCTGGTCATGCCTGAGTTGAGTTCCAGAGGAGGTAAGGCTAAGGCTTTGGGGAAGGTTGGGGAGCAGAGCAGAGGTACGTCTTTACGCAGGAGGGCCGGCTGACTCTATTCCTGTCTCCAGAGACACGGGAGTTCCAGACGAGTCCCCTTCTGCTGCCAGTCCCTGCACAGGTGCCCCGGCCTTCGGGGAGGGCGGCCTCACTCCTTGAACACCATGCCATCCAACTCTGTCAGCATATAGGCCGGGATCGCCCTGGTGACGAGGACTGGGTACGCCGGGCACCTCGCGTCCCACCCCAGGTATAGCCCAGTGCTTTTCAAATCAAATTTCCCTGGTTGTCTTGAAACTGTGTTCTTGTCTCTTTCTTGCCTTATCTCTCCTCTCTCTAACTCTGTCTCTCTCTAACTGTTTGCCTTGCTTCTTTGATTTTCTGTCTCTGTTCTGTCCCACATCCCTTTCTGTGGGTCTCTCTGATTAGGGGCTCCAGGCTTCTCTCTCTACCCACATCTTTTCCAGGGTGGGGAGCAAGTAGGTAGAGAGAAGTGTGGCTGTGGGGAAGAGGTCCCTCCCAGTCTTCAGGGAGCTCACAAGCCTGTGGAGGAAGGGACCTGACTTGGTGGAAAGGCTGGAAGAAGGGTGTGACTTATCAGGTGGTCTCTGGAGGAGGCAGGGCCTTGGGGTCCAGTAGGCTTCAACATCCTCCTGTTCCCTTGCCTGCTCTCTGCAGGAGGACACCCGAGCTCCACGGCAGCGGCTCCACAGACAGTTGGCTGAGCATCTGCGCCAGACCTGGAGCCCACTTGCAGCGCCCACACAAGCCCGAGACCTGGGGGAGCTGCTTCAGGGCTGGGGTGCTGGGGCCAGGACTGGCGCCCCCAAGGGATCCCGCTTCACACATTCAGAGAAGTTCACCTTTCATCTGGTGGGTGGGCCTGAGTGGATGTTGGGGTACTGATCTGGTGAGGGCTGCTTTATATATAAATGCAGCTTTTATTCACATAAGGTCCCATATACCCACAAGGTAGGCCCTTTCCCTCAGGGAAGGTGTTCAGCGGGCTTTCTTAGCTTCTTGGGACATCAGTGGAGAAAGAGCATACAGGTGGGAACCATGTAAGTGTAGAGGGGTGCTTTTGGTACAAACCCCATCTTTCCCCAGTCATTTTCCTCTGGATATATCTTCTCTCCTTGGATACTCACCCAGAGGGACCCTCGTCCTTCTCATGGGCATTTAGGGCTGCTACATCTGGACCAGGGAGGTTTCTCTGAGAGCAGACACTTTAGTTGCCCTTCCCCTTGTTTAGTCACATTCTGACAGTCGTTAGTAGTTGAACGGATGTCGGTACAGCACTAGGAGGAGCTTTGGGGTGTTGAGGCCAGGCCATAAGAGGCAGGGCCTTCCCTGATATCCAGGTTGTCCCTCCTCATGCCCCCTAGGAGCACCAGGCCCAGGCTGCCCCAGTATCAGATGTGCCAACTACCTCCAGTCAGCCTGAACAGGTGAGCAGAGCAGTCCGTGTGTTTGCGGGGGGTTCCTGATCCCTTTACTGTATGCTGGGTCTGGCATTTCCACCTGACTGGCCTGTGCCTCCCAGGACACACGGGCAACTCAAGAACAGGAGCTAGAGTCCCTTCGGGAGCAGCTGGAGGGCATGAACCGCAACATTGAAGAAGTGGAAGCCAACATGAAGACTCTAGGAATCAGCCTTGTGCAGGTGAGGGGCTGTGGCGAGGGCCATGGGCTGGGTCAGGCCAGAAGTAGGGCCTTGAGGGGACCTGGAGGTGGTTTCTTGAGGTCTGCAGATGTTAGAAGGGTTCATGGAGGATATTGGGAATCTCTGGGGCTCTTGAGTTGGTGGGAGCAAAAGGGGATGTGGGTTTGGGTGCTTCCTGGACCTATTGGGGTTAGAGGCACCTATGGGCATCAGTCAGGCCTTGTAGGTGGTGTTGAGGGTCTGTGAGCATTGGCGGGGCAAGATGGGTCTGTGTGGGCAAGGCTCCTGGGCATCAGTGTGGATCTGGAGGATCAGAGAGGCCTGTGGGGGCCTCAGGCTAGGCCAGGGTTTCTTGGGGTCACTGGGGACTGTGATGTGTGACTGGGGGTGGGGCTGATGTGGTGCCAGGTGGAGACAGAGTGTCGGCAGAGTAAGCTCAGCATGGCAGAGCGTGAGCAGGCCCTGCGCCTGAAGAGCCGGGCAGTGGAGCTTCTACCAGACGGGGCTGCCAATCTCGCCAAACTGCAGGTGGGCTGGGGCTGAGTCTGGGGTTGGGCTGGTGGGGCAGGGTTGGATAGGCCCAGCCTGTTTGACATGTCTCCACCCATAGCTTGTGGTGGAGAGCAGTGCGCAGCGGGTCATCCATTTGGCGGGTCAGTGGGAAAAGCACCGGGTTCCACTTCTTGCTGAGTACCGCCACCTTCGAAAGCTCCAGGATTGCAGGGAGGTAGGTGGTGGGGTCTGGGGCCATGGGGCAAGTCTGGTGCCCTTCTAGGAGGCTGCCTCTGAGCTCTGCTCACTGCCTCTGCCTGTGGGTCCCTGGTAGCTGGAATCTTCTCGACGGATGGCAGAAATCCAGGAACTGCACCAGAGTGTTCGGGCAGCTGCTGAAGAGGCCCGCAGGAAGGAGGAAGTCTATAAGCAGCTGGTAAGGCCCATGAAGGGGCCCTGGTAGCAAAGATGGGTGGGGTGTGGGTCCTTGGGAAATACCTGCTGTGTCCCTACCTAGGTGTCAGAACTGGAGACTTTACCGAGAGACGTGTCCCGGCTGGCCTATACCCAGCGCATCCTGGAGATTGTTGGCAATATCCGGAAGCAGAAGGAAGAGATCACTAAGGTGCATTGCAGTGGCCCTGGCGGGTGGGTCTCATATGTATGTGTGTGTGTGTGTGTATATATATATATGTGTGTGTGTGTATATATATATATATATATATATATATATATATATATATATATATAAAATATATACCAGAGATTGAACCCAGGGGTTCTTGCTTAACCACTAAATCACATCCCCAGCCCTTTTTATTTTTTTCATTTTGAGACAAGGTTTCACTAGGTTGCTTAGGACCTCGCTAACTTTCTAAGGCTGGCCTCAAATTTGTGATCCTCCTGTCTCAGCCTCCCAAGATGCTAGGATTACAGGCTTGTGCCACCATGCCTGGCTGGGTGGGTCATGTGGACAGACAGAAGTAGGGTGGCCACATGGGGACCTAATGGCTTCTGATAGGCAGAGCTGTCTAGCACACCCCAGCACAGAATAGTCCACTCCAACCTCCCTGATGTAGTGACACAGGCCCTGAATTGATGTGAGTGCATGCAAATGAATACCCTCGGCTGGCCAGCCACCCTGCCTAGACACCCTGCCCTGAGCTCATGGCCAACCTGGTATCTGCCAGATCCTGTCTGACACGAAGGAGCTTCAGAAGGAAATCAACTCCCTCTCTGGGAAGCTGGACCGGACGTTTGCAGTGACTGATGAGCTCGTATTCAAGGTGTGGGGCAGGCTGGGCCTGGCATGAGGTTTGGCGTGGGGTTTAACCTGCTGCCGGCCCATCTGCTCATGGGCCAGCTTGGCCCAGGCCCTCAGTGAGCCCTGTAGGCATAATAATGCTCAGAACTTGCTTCATGAAGGATGAAGGCAGCGGGGTGGTGGCATGGAGGTGGTGGGGGACAGTGGATAGCTAATTTTTTCAAGGTCCCCTCTGCCTGGTCAGGATGCCAAGAAAGATGATGCTGTTCGGAAGGCCTACAAGTATCTAGCTGCGCTGCATGAGGTGAGGAGAGCAGCATGCTTGGGGGGCTGGTTGGGGAGGGACTGACTTGGGTGCAAGCCTCGTATTCCTGCCATCCCCAGAACTGTAGCCAACTCATCCAGACCATCGAGGACACGGGCACTATCATGCGGGAGGTTAGAGACCTTGAGGAGCAGGTGAGAGGCCTGGATATGGGAGGGGAACTGAAACAGGTCAGGGGATAGCTCCTTGACTTATACAGAGAGAGGCTGTGGGACCAGACAGCCTATAGCTGGAGCTCAGCCTTGTCACTTGGTACCTAAGCCTGGAACAGACTGGTGGCCTTCTCTGAGCCTTAGCTTCTACCCTGCAGTCCTCAAACTTGCTTCCCAGGGCTGCTGGCAGAGGCTTTGGCTTAAGGATACTTTAGGTGGAGGGAATGACACGTGCAGAGGCCTGGCAGTGGGACAGGGGGTGGGAGGGGTTCAGGGCAGCTGCAGTGGAGGGGGTGGTGAGGAGGAGCTGTGGAAGAAAGGGGATCTATGTGCTGAGCAAGTGTGTTCACTTTCCTTTAGATTGAGACGGAGATGGGTAAGAAGACCCACAGCAACTTGGAGAAGATCTGTGAGGACTACCGAGCCCTTCGCCAGGAGAATGCTGGCCTCTTGAGCCGGGTGCGGGAGGCCTGAGGAGCTCCTGTGGAGGGCTCCCCAACCACAGACAGGGATGTGGGGTGCTGGAGGTGGTAGCCAAGTGCTGCTGCCCTAGCTACTCCCTCCATTTACCACCAGTTCCTCCCGCTGTGGTCTTAGTCTCAGACACTTGCTCACTTGACCCCAACTCTGATCTGGGGTGATCGTCCAGCATGTGGGAGCTTGGCTGCAGTTTATTGGGGAGGGCACTGGAGGTTGGGGGTCTTGGATCCCAAATAAAGGAGGGGCTCTTCTGCAGTCTAGGCTGAGGCATGGATCGGGCTTGGCCATGGGAGTGGGGTGGGTGGCAAGTGAGACATGGGGTACATTTTTGTCAGTTGTTGTGTGTCTTCATGGGACTTGGGAGATACTGGGGGGGGCTATGTGAGCACACATGTGAGATACGCAGGCAAATCCAACAGGCTGTGTGTGAGTGAGCACATGTGTTAGGTGCTGCATAAGCCTGTGTATGACCAGTTGTGTGTTTGTGTGACATTCTGGAACCTGCTATCCTGAGGGTACTGATGCTACTTCTGTGCGGGGCTCTGGGAACACCCTTGTGTGACCCTGAACTTGGGGGCCCAGAGACTGGCAGTGGGTATGTGCTTTCAGGTTGATGGAGCTGCACTCATGTGTGATGTGTAACTATGCAGCTTTGAGAGTGTTTGAATGTACTAAGGCGGGATTTGTGATTTAGGGTTTATATTGAATATAGGGGACAGGATAGTGACTGTGTCTGTGTGACTTTCCCCTACCCCTGAGGTGAGAGTGGCCGAGACAGGCTGTATGTATGGCTAGTTGTGGAGCCTCTGATTGGCTAGAGAACCTGACTGGGGGATTTGAATGGGAATGGGAGCTGGGCTGGTCCTGGGGCCCCTCCAAGCAGCCTTGGTGCAGAAGAAATGATCTGGGATGGCAGCCAGCTGGGGAGCAGGGGCCCTCACAGGCAAGACAGTAGACATCTCACTTTTTGGTCTCTGTGGGCATGTCCAGGTCCTGTCACCCCTGCCCTGGGCTACTCTGCCCCCCATTTTGGCTCCTGTCCATCCTTCCTCTTCTTGGTTTTGAGGTCAGGGGCTGTGGGTAGGGTAGGAGCACCTGCTGGGCCGCTGGCTCCTTTTCTTGCGGAACTCAAACTCATCCACGGTCCACACAGCCCCCTTCTCACTCTCCACCCGAACAAAGCACTTGTGCAGGCTCAGGTTGTGGCGGATGGCATTCTGTGGAAGGAGGATCAGCCAGAGATGGGGCAGGTCAGTGGCCTGAGGTCAGCATCCCCCGTCAGCACTGACCTGCTCCTTTCTCATATGCCTCTGAACCCAGCCCCCAGTTAGCTCGTTCCTACACTGTGTGGCACTGTGTCCATCCCAGCCACCACCACCTCCAAGAGGCACTCACCTTCCAGGTGGCAGGGTGGTTTCTGAAGAAGGCAAACATGCGTGTGAACCAGTGGTAGATCTCATTGAGTGTCCGCTGCTTCTCGGGAGCTTCCAGGATGGCCTGGAAGTTGGGATAGAGTAGGGTAAGGGGATCATTCCCCCAAAGTTGGGCCTGAGAGGGGCAGTGGCCTGCCCTGGGCCTTATGGTCTGGGGGTGGGATTGTGGGGCAGGGGAGGGGAGGGAGAGAGATCGTACAGGGTGAAGGATCAGGGCAGGATTAGACATGGGGTGAAGCATGGGATCAATGGCATGGACATCTGGAGAGGGGTGGGTTTTGGGTTCATAGTTTGGCTTACACTGGCCCGACTGGCAGTTTAGGTTTGGGTTCAGGGACAGGATTGGGGTACAGCCAGTAGGAGGGATCACATTGGAGGCATGGCTGGGGCTCCTCCGGGCTGGGGTTTCTTACTGGAGAAGCATGAACTCTGAAGTTGTTCAGAGGAAGGTGGGAGTTTGGTAGGCAGGTTCCCCCATCATCTTCCTCCCCTCTGGGCTTGAGCTGCCCTGCTTACCCAGCGGATGAGGGTGGCATAGGTGAAAGGGGGCCGCATGTTGTGGAACTTGAAGTAGTCCATGTTGTGGAAGAACTCTGGCAGAGGGTGGGGACAGATCAGGCCCTGTCCAAGACCTCCTCCCTCTTTGTCCCACCCTCCTCCACATATGCCTGAAATCCCATCATCAACCCAAGGGGAAGGACCGTGGTCATACATTGGTACCACTTGCTGAGTATTTGATATATATTGTCCCTTGCTCTTTGGTCATTTGTGACCATGATGGGGGACTTTCAGGCCATAAAAATCCTGAGAGGAAGCTTTTACAAGCATGTGCATTTTCAAAAGCTGGGTGGTGGTGATGTGGAGTTCCTTTGCACCCCTGCCTGGCACCAGGTGGGATTAGGAGTGTAGGTCAGTGGGTAGGGCACAGACCACTCTTACCTGGGAATGTGCTGTTTCCATGGCTGCCCCAGAGGTGCCTCCGCACTGCAAACAGGCTGTCAGATGCCTCCCGAGGGCTGGGCCAGGCTGGAACGACATTTCCTTGGGTGCTAGTGGCTACCATGCAGCAGGAGCCCTTGTCAGATGATGCCTGGGGGAGGCAAGAGGGGCTGGTGACGCAGAGGTTTAAATTTTCCACTCTTTTTTTTGGCACTGGAGATTGAACTCAGGGGTGCTTAAACACTGAGCCACATCCTAGCCCCCCCCCCTTTTTTGTATTTTATTTACAGACAGGGTTTCACTGAGTTGCTTAAGGCCTCACTGAGTTGCTTAAAGCCTCACAAAGTTGCTGAGGCTGGCTTTGAACTTGCAATCCTCCTGCCTCAGCCTCCTGAGCCCCTGAGATTAAAGGCATGCACCACCACACCCGGCTCCACTCTTATATTTAAATCAGTGTTTTTATTTTTTCTTTTAAGAGATAGGGTGTGGCTATGCTGCTAAGGGTGACCTTGAATTCCTGGATTTAAGTGGTCCTCTTAACATCCCGAGTAGATGAGACTATAGGCATATGTCACCATGCCTGGCTAAATCAGTGTTTAAGGGCATCCTCTTAATTCTAGTCTGACATGGAATCCCATGGAACAGCATGAGCCATACTGGTGTGCGCATGGTGTGTAGTCACAGATGCTGGGATCATGAGGTGGTGCTGATAGGGCTTCTCTAGTGCCCAACTATGACTTTGGGAGAGTTAACTAAACCTTTCCGGCCTCAATTGTCCTCATCTGTGGATTGGGGATGATAGTGGTAGTTACTTTACAGTGGAATCCTGAGGCTTGAATAAACACTAACAAAGTGCTCCGAAACAGTGCCTGGCACTCAGGACTGGTTTTGTGAGTGTGACCTGTGCTGCAGTCACACAGGACCCCACACCTTTTTTTTTTTTTTTTGTACCAGGGATTGAACCCAGGGGCAGTTAACCATTGAGCCACATTCTCAACACTTTATTTTGTTTATTTAGAGACAGAGTTTCACTAAATTGCATAGTTTCACTAAATCACTGAGGCTGCCTTTGAACTCTTGATCCCCCTGCCTAGCATCCCAAGTGCTGGGATTATAGGCGTGCACCACCACACTTGAATGCACTGAGGTTGCCATCTTGAAATTTGAACATGGGTCCTGCATTTTCATTTTTGCACTGGGCCCTCCAAGTTATGTAGTCAGTGCTTTAGGGATCACATGGTCTAACTTCATTAAGTATGGGGTGCTTAACCACTGAGCTGTTAGAGTCTGTAAACAAGTCAAAATAACACCTGGCATTTAGCCAGGGGAATGTTAGAGTTCGTAAACAAGTCTGGATGGTGCCTGGCAAAATGCCAGAGGGAGTGGTTTGAGAAGTAACAAAAGTGAGCCATTAAGTGTAGAGATTCCTTATTGGTTGACTGATGTATCTAGTTTATGCTAATTAGATAAGCTCTGTGGAATGTATAAATACTGCTCCTGTCCTGCAATAAACGGCTCCTACTCCTGCTGTATCAAGTACACAAGTTATTCGTCACCCCCCGGCTAGTTTGCTGCATCCAGACAGACTGCGGCACTGAGCTACATCCCTATCTTTTTTTTTTTTTTTTTACCAGGGATTGAACTCCAGGGCATTTAACCAATGAGCCACATCCCACCCCTTTATTGTATTTTATTTAGAGACAGGGTATCATTGAGTTGCTTAACACCTTGCTAAGTTGCTGAGGCTGGCTTTGAGGTCATGATCCTCCTGCCTCAGCCTCCTGAGCCGCTGAGATTACAGGCGTGTGCCACTGCACCTGCCCAGCTTCCTTATCCCTTTTTATCTTTCATTTTGAAACAGTTTTGCTAAATTGCTGAGGCTGGCCTTGAACTTGTGATCCTCCTGCCTCAAGCTTCTGACTAGCTGTGATTACAGGCATGCCACACAACCTGGCCCTATTGCTTTAAAAAATATTTTTGTTGTGCTGGGGATTGGATTCATGGATACTCTATATCCCCAGCCCTTTTTATTTTGATACAAGGTCTTCTTACTAAATTACCCAGGCTGACCTTAAACTTGTGATCTTCCTGCCTCAACCTCCTCGGCATAATTTAATTTTTTTGCAGTGCTGCGGATGGAACCCAGGGCCTCCTGAATGCTAGGCAGGTGCTTTACCACTGAGCCTCAGCCCCACCCCCAGCCCCTGTTATTGCTTTGGAAATTCAGAATCAGGATGGGTAAGGTCAAAGGGTTTGCAAGTGGAAGAGGACTGATTCTCATGTGTGGCACATATGCAGGTACTCATAGACTCCAGAGGCTGTGTGTGAGGACAGGTTCCCATGCACCCTTCAGTTGTCCCCCAGCTCTCTAGTTCTGCTGCCTTCAGGTCTGGGGTAGCTTACCGTAGCTGGAGCCTTGGTCAGTGCCATTTTCCCGGCCAGGTGGGCCTGCATAGCGCCCAGTTTCTCCTTCTCCAACACCAGCTGTGGGGATGGGCACAAAAAATGGGGCTTCCATCTGGCCTTTCTCCACCATACCTTTCCGGCTGTGTTCCTCCCTGGAGTCCCCTCCCTCCTTTCCCTTACACAACACTCATCCTGGATTATCCTGGTTCCTGGCACAGTATGGTCATGAGGCTCACCCACCCACCACCCACCTTCCTCTTGAAGGCATTACCTGCTGCTCCAAAGACTGCACCACCTCTCTCTGGAGGAGACACTGTGCCCTTCCCTTCTCATCCAAGAGGTGGTCTGCCTGGCAGTGCCTGGGTAGGGGAAAGATTTCATGCAGGTGACCATGGTGCACCTGGCCTCCTAGCTCAATGTTTCAGTTGGGGATGGCCACTCCCTCTGGGAGGTCTTTCCTTAGAGCTTCAGCTGCCA